CCTAGGTAACCTATACATTCTGCTGGGGAGGGGCTCGCGTGCTGGAAATTTCCTGCAATAATTTTTAGGATGTATGTAGTTAATATGTTCATGTAAGATAATCTTTGTAGTGAAAAAAGATGAGACTGGGACTTAACAATGGAAAAATTTACAAGTTTAGGTAATACACACCTAAAAGAGTTTTATATTTTATAAATTTTATATTTTATAATCTGAGAAATGTAACAGAGCACACAGAATGAAACTTGAATGGTGAATTTCCCCAAGAAACAAACTACCATGCAAATAAATTCTGACTATTTAAGACATGTTTCACCTCAGAAAATGGAGAAAACTACAAATAAACTATGATTTAGATTGGTAATTACTTGGGATATTTGGTACTTGTTAGAGAAATTGATGGTATTAACAATCTAAATTATTATGGGCCCAAATATATGGGGCTTCAACTCAAATAGGCAATGAAAAAAAGGAAACAAAACTAAGTTCTGAGTTAAATTGTATATAGGCACATAGCATTGGTTATATATTTCATCACTGTTTGCTACTTTCATGGCTATGAATGTTTCAGAACATATATAGTCAATTTTGAAATGCCCAAGAAAGACAGTTTAGTAGTTAGGAAAATCTCTTTGGTTATAAGTTGAATAGAGCCAACACAAAGACTGGTTTAGTCAGATTACAAGAGAACGTGTACTCCCTTCAAATGAAAACAGAAACAGACTGGTAAAATATGGAAGTGCCACTAGGGCCATCCTTTTTTTTTTTTTTTAAATATATTTTTATTGGTTTCAGAGAGGAAAGGAGAGGGAGAGATAGAAACATCAATGATGAGAGAGTCACCAATTGGCTGCCTCCCACTGGAGATCCAGCCTACAACCCAGGCATGTGCTCCTGACCGAAATCGAACCTGGGACCCTTCAGTCCGCAGGCCAGCGCTCTATCCACTGAGCCAAACCAGTCTGGGCACAGGGCTATCCTTTTAATGTTGAAATTAAATTGTAGCCCCAAAGCATACAAGGCCTCTCTTTACATAGTCCAAGTTCCTTGTTATATTCTAATTCATATTTCTTGTTTTCTGTTGATCATTCCACTGGCTTTCTTAGCTATCTAAACACCGTTCTTCGATTTTCCCGCTGCTCTGCATGAATTCCTGCTGTTTACTCCTCTGCAATGTCTTCTCATCCCATCTGCACATACTAACTTTCCCTCTACTCATCAGCTTATAAACACTTTCCCCTTTCTTTTTCTTTGGTTTCTTATTTGACTTTTCTACATATGTGGGTACATGAATTATATGGGGCACATATTTTGCTATATAATATCATTTATACATCTTTTTCTTGGATGTGTTCCAATCTGGGAAATGTTTGATATTAATTTAACATTTATCAAATATTTTACATGTATCATATATAACAGTTTTTATTTCTTTGGCCTCATTCTTCTAATCTACCAATTCTTATTAGTTTTCCAGTATCTTTTTCAGAGCAAAGGAAAGGAACAAAACCCAGTGCTGGAGGTAATAACTTTCTCAAAAAGCAGGGACTACCAAAGGTATACTTTTCCCTCTACCCAGAATGATCACAGAACCACTTTGAGTAAAATTATATCCCAACAATATATACATGTCTTTGACAGATGTGTATGATGGAAAAATTTGCTGTCTTACCAATAAACTTCATTATGTCTAACTGTCCTTTACAGATTTGTCTTATCACATTTAGCTATCAGAGAATAAATTCCTAAATGGCTAAAGACCTAAGATGTAGTCTTAGATGATAGTAACTGGCTGTGTGATACCTTCTTCTTTTCTTTAAAGGAATTGTATGATACCTTCCTCAGGTCTCTTTAGGCAGTACCACAGTAAATGCTTGCTAATTCGAGCAAGGGGGGTGTCCATTAAAGCTGAAAGTTCGTTATATAATAAAGTAGGTTTTCTGAATGCATATGTTAAAAAACTGACAAATTAGTTTACCTCTATTTACTTATGTAGACATTTTGTGCAATTAAAATTAAGTGTGTATAAAAAGTTTAATGTCATAGAAAAGTTTTCTAAAACCTGGTCAGTGTGGCTCAGTGGTTGAGTATCAACCCATGAACTAGATAAGAGGTTGCTGGTTTGAATCCCCATCAGGGAACATGCTGGGGTTGAAGACTCAATTCCCAGTGAGGGGCATGCAGGAAGCAGCCAATCTATGTTTCTCTCTCATCAATGTTTCTCTCTCTTCCTAAAAATCAATAAAAACATTAAAAAAAAAAAAGTTGCTAAAAATGCTGTTAACTATGTGTAAATCAATTAGGAAAGACGGGGGAAGTCATAAAAATCTCTAAGGATTATAAAATTACAGTACATTGCTTACAAGTATTTAGTTTAATTCTTTTTAAAAGGTATTAAGTGAAAATTTGTCCTTAAAGAAGCCAAGAGTATAGGTATGACTTATGGCAAGAAACAGGACTCTTATTTAAAAATAAAATAATGGCCCTATATCACAGGAGTGATTAATAAATTTAAAGTACAAGCTTACAATGTTTAAAGTTGTATGTATCATTTTTTTGTACTTAAGGCTCTAGCAGGGCTCTCTTTTGACAATGTACCATTTAGCAACCCAAACTGCTTCAGGTAAAGAGGGTTTCTTTGAAGATCTCATAGAAGTGTCACATAAAACCTTCAGTGTTATAGATAAGGCACATGTATTCACACTGCACAATTTTATGCATGAGAAATTAAAACAAAGGTCACAGCAGACTGGGGGGAAAAATCAGACAAAAAAATCTAATCCTAACAGCAACTATTCAGTATTGCTTTGCTGATGCTTATGGAAACATTAGCTATGTTTCTGTATCTAAAATATTTTCACGATTACAATTTGTATCAGAGTCTACTATATTACATTGCTAGTGAATATGAGAAAAACTAATTTTATGCTCTCAAAGCAGAAATAAAATATCTAGTATTTGCCGAGACCTGTTTGGCTCAATGGATAGAGCGTCGGCTTGGGGACTGAAGGGTCCCGGGTTCGATTCTGGTCAAGGGCATGTACCTTGGTTGCGGGCATATCCCCAGTAGGGGGTGTGCAAGAGGCAGCTGATCGATGACTCTCTCTCATCAATGTTTCTAACTATCTCTCTCCTTCTTCTCTGTACAAAATCAATAAAATATATATTTTTAAAAATCTAGTATTTGCTTACACACACAAAAAATTGTCTCATCTTTTTTTCTTAGAATGCATTTACGAGGAAGAAATGATTAGACCAAAATTGTAAAAATTAGGTATAAAGGTTTTGAAAACCAATCGCTTTGCATCTCAAACTGAAAGGCAACAGGTATTACCAAGTGAAAACTTTAAAAGTCAAATCTAACAGTTTAAGAAAACAGAGTTTCTAAAGAAACTAAAGCATTTTTGTAAAATTCCTTATTTCTTGTAAGTTTCCTACAAATTTATGAGGCAAAACACTTAACCTGTCAGATCTAGATACCATAGACAAGTAATTTAAAATAATAATTTGTAAATCTAAGTCATCTTAACATATTGGCTCTATTTTTGCAAATGACCCTAAGTGTTAACCAAGAAATACGTTAATTTTACCAAATAAACTTTGTTTCAAATGACTTAAATTATAATTACAAAGAAGTGTTTCAGACCGACATTTTATATGATATTCTATTTATAATGTCACTTGACTATACTTTTAAATTCATCAACACTTTGGTTTACCTAATGCTCAGATTCTAAAGCTGGCAAAAAAAATAATCATTCAAAAAAACCTCCAACATAAGAAAATATGTCTTAAAATATTTTTCTGTCACATCTTCTCATAAAAAACAAAACACCCAGCATGACAAATATACCTTCCCTCTTATTAAGTCTTATATAAATATGCCATACAAGGACTGTGAATTTTATTAAAATAAACAACATAATATGCTAAACAACTTAAAAACAAAAACTTTTACATATACCAAATATTTCAATTTCCTCTATTAACTGTAACCAAAATATATGCTTCAATAAGCAATAAATATTAAGGAAAACTATTTTGATAGAAAACTGGTAAATAATTTCTCAAATGCTAGGAACAAACATATTAGTGATCTTCAGTTCATTTCCCTTCAAATACAAAATTTTTGTTATGAGAGGATAAAGGAGAATAAAATGCAAAGCTGGAGTCATTTGTTGCCTTAAACAATTAGGAAAAGCAGTTTTGATATATGAAAATAGTGTGGGTAAATCTGGGTAAAAATTACCTGGCTCTCTAAGTTTATCTAAATATTTATTTTCTGAAGTGAAAAATTGCCTTTTAAAAATTACACCCTCAAACTTTTTAAACCAAAATTATTATACATACTTTCAAATATTATATTTATGTGTTGGGAATTTTCTAACCAGATGCAATAATTGTACTTAGCAAAGCAATAATTGAACAAAATATGCTTTGTTATGCTAACAAAAAATAAAAAATATAACATTTACCCACATTCTATGATTGATCAAGACCAGCATAGAAACTTTGATTATCTTCATTAAAGAGAGAATATCTTCACTCCACTTAAAGTTGCAAATAAAATGGAAAACTACATTTTTGCATAATTAGGTGCTCATATAAACTTTTTTCTTATACTATATATTTAAGTGCTATTAAAATAATGTGTGACAAGCTATTTGAGCCCTGTTCTTTTTTACTGAATATGCCTTAAATAATAACAGCAGATTAAATTTTTATTGCTTTTATTTCTGTTCTATAGATAGCATTTCCCCCCTTTTTCCAGTGTCTTGGGATTCTAAGGTGTCCTAAAAGTAATGTAAGAGTTATAAGAGTAGATAACTAAATTATTTTAGAACCATTCTAAATTAGGTTTACAAAAATACTATTCAGTTCAATCAACATTAGAAGCATCCACTGTACATCAGCATTCAGCGAGCAAACATGAGAATAAATTATTTCATGAATAATTAAAATGAAAGCATCTAATATTATATGAAAGAGTTACATTTTACCTGGATTAGATGAGGTAATGCTTTTAGTGTAAGGCAAAACCAAATCCCCAGCTTGCATGGAAGCAAATCATGCCACTGTGGTTTCATCAGTAATCTAAAGGGGGCGGGGGAAGCAAAGAAGCAAAAATATTGACAGAAAGTTGGGAAATAAAACATTTTTATAAAGATCATAATTTCTGTTTTGAATGACTTTCAACAAAAAAGAAATTTTCAATGAAATACTTGTGTTGATTATCATTTATTCTGACTTATTTTATCATGAAATACAGTAGTTACAATAAATGCAGTACGTATAGCAAGTAAGAGGAAGCTAAGAATTTGGAAAAGGAGACTCCTACTCAAGTTATAAAGATAAAGAAACAAAAGATCCCTTTCCAGCCTAGACTTTCATCAGTTCTGCAAAATGAATTCTCAAACCTTATGATTACTTCAGCTATAAAAGACTAAACATCATCAGAGTGTTCCCCAGTGCTGACAAGCAGATATGAAGACTGTAGCATAAACAAACCAATACATAAAAATTAATGTCATTTGCAGTTCACTGAAGCATTACTCACTGATGTCATCAGAACAGAAGACTTGCAGAATAGTCTCTGATCTCCATCTCACATTGATCCAGTTCTGCCCTGCTGTGTGAACTATTTAAACCCTTTCTTTCTTTCTATAAATCGATAGAAGAAATGGTAGTATCTTTCAGAGTGTTCTGCATATCACTGCCTCTATACACATTGTCACTCCTGAACGAAACACTAAATGACAGATTCATCTAGTAATACTTTTTCTAAAGTTCAGTCTACAAATTTTAAACTATAAGAATTTGGGGGTTTAATTACTTAAATATATTTTAACACATCACAAGAGGAAAAAGTTGCATTTCTGCTTAAGATCAGAATTTGTCTCACAAACAAATATGGCGCATTATTAGTCTTTTAAAAAATCTATTATAGATGTAAATGCTAGAATGTCTGAAATGGATATATGAAATTGGATTACATTAAAGAAATGTTTTAAAACAGTTTCAAATTATAAAATATTTTTATAATGGTCCTACCTTTCATTTTTTTCTGAAGCACCAAGTTTCGATAAATCCACAGTCTTGCCACCTGCCTTTTTTTTCTTTTCTCTTTTTTTTCTACCAAGCAGTTCATCCTTAATGTGGAAAGAATTATAGTTAGAGGTTATCATTAACATGTACTCTTCAAATGTTATCAAGAGTTTACTGTGAAGGGTAAACATTATAAAGGAACATTTATGCAAATGTATGTAGGGTCCAACATGATTAAGTAAAATCATCAATCTTTAACAATAACTGTTGTCATAGTATCCAGTCCTTAAACACACATGAAGTTTAGCACTGTCAGTCAAGTCTATCTCCATAGCAATCAAAGTTTTCTAAGCAGAGAGAGCATTCAACTTTTTCTCATTCACCCAACTTTAGTAATGTTACTTCAAAAAGAATGAGTAAATAGATGCTAATTCTGATGTTTGTTTTTAGCATATAGAGATCCACAGCAGAATAAACTATGTAGTAGAGTTTATTAGACTAAAAAAATGCAATAACCTTTTTACCAACTGATCTATGAAATCATAAAATTATACTAATTTCAAGTCTTAGTTAAAAACTTTTAAAGTAAACATGGTTTATATAACAGCCTGTGACACAAAAATTTCTAAAATCATTTTTACATGAAAAATATTTCTATTTGGAAGGTGATAATTAAGAAAACGTGGCTCTAGTTTCTACCTTCTAATTTTCAGTTAGATAATGGAATCTTCACAAAATTTTAAACAAACTCAAAGTCACATTTTTAAAAAGAAGGATATTTTCTTCTTATAACCTGGGCTCTTCTTGACTTAGAAACATATCAAACACTAACTACTGAGCACAAAACTATTAAAATGAGAAGTATTTATAAAAACATTGAACTTTTCATCAGTTGAAAATAAATGTTTGAAATTCCATATAAAATTAAGGAGGCTAGGATCATTTGATTTATTACCAATACTTACTTACCAGTTGTTTTTCCAGGTAGATTGACCACACCACAGCATAATGACCCACTGTGAGGATAATGAACAAAAGTAATGCCAGCTCAGCATTGCTCATTTTTCTCACCCGCCTGTAGTAGAATACAGGCTGTCGCCAATCTGGAAGTCCATTGATCAGAATATCATCATACCTACAGTAGCAAATATAACAGTTTTTCAAGGAAAGTTTGAAATAAAAATGAAAAACTTTATTTATACCCATATTTTAAAAGAGAAAAAAATTCCTCCAAATAGGTATCATTCATGTAAATTATCAGCATTATAGCGGTCTATAAACTGTACATAGGTCCAGTCACAGACAACCTTCAAAAAGGTACATAGTAATATACTGTAGATATCAGATCTTATGTTTTCAGGAGACCCCATAATGCGACTTCGGGAATGCCATCTAAACTAAAGGTGCCATATAGTCTCTCTCTATCACAGTCTGCTGCAAAGGCCCAACCATGAAGTCAACAACAAAAGGAAGGATCTCGATGGGGGGGGAAAACAATCAAGATAAGAGCTCTATTTGTTACCATGAATTATACATTAATTGAATCAAATTCAGGGTAAATTTTTCAGTCAGTGCCTTTCCCCCCCACCTCTGTACCATAGTTCAAGGTTGAAACATATATATTATTTTATCAAAACTTAATAATGTAAAAGCCTATAAAATGAGCCTCTTTTAATTTTGCATTGCTCACATTATGTAAGAGAATTTAAAAATGCCAAATTAGAGGTGTGTAAACTTATGCTTACATCAGATTTCTAAATAAAACTGTTTATTTGCAAACATTTAAGTGGCAATTTTCTCACTTTTGGCTTTGCTGAAAGGGGAGACCATAAATAAAAGCTTGCCTAAAAACGCATTTAAATCAGCTTTCTTTAGAATAAAACGTCAATTAAATTTAAATATACCTGTCAGACAGTTACTGTGGCAAATGTTTTTTAAGGTTAAAAATCAGGAGTAGCATTTATGATTGTAAAACTCAAAATGGTCATAAACACTGTATGTTCACACAACCTGTTAATCTTAGTGAAACACAACTCATTAAATATTCTAATCACACTATTTCCAGAATTAAATCTTCACTGAAAGGCCTAATTTGGTGCAACACATTGACCAAAATATTTTAATTAAAAATATTCTGAGTTAGTCCCAGGCCTAATTACAGGAATAGAAATAGGGCCTATATTGTCAGGCAGGTCAGCAGCACTCAGTAGTAGGTTTTTCTCAAGTAAATTGACCGATCTAAGAATAATAGCGCAGCTGCTAAACTGCCAGTCTTTTCATGTAAATCAATTTAAATGCAACAACTGCAGTAGCTACTTTTATAGTTATTAAATTGATACCTTGGAAATATGCTTAAAAAATAAAGCAGCGGAGTTATTACAGCCAAGTTTTTTTTAGCAGAAAAAGTGATTATAAATTCAAAATATATTTTATTAGCAAATCTAGAAAACTTAACTTAGATCAACTTAAATTATTAATAAACAATAGATATCATAATAACTAATGTTTAGAGCAAAGGACATTAATTAGTACTGAACTCTTAAAAGACAAATTGTGTAAAGAATCTACAAATTAAAATGTTGTGTAGTGGCTGGACCAGAAAAATTTCAATATTTAAATATTCTCCTTTTTTCAATATTATAGCAATTCTTGAACACGAACAGAAAAGCATAATAATATGAGTTCATCAAAAGCTATCATTCCTTTCCTCAAAAATTTATATTTAAATCTATCTTTGTAAAAATAGACTGATTTTAAATTATAAATGGATTGGTAAAAAGATTTCAAGAGCTATAATGCAAGATGACAACAATTGAATGAAATCCAATGAATGTTAAGTATTGAATTATTCTAAATCTATAATGCACTTCAGATTTGTTGAGGGGAACAAAAGGTGACTATAAAAATCATTATTTTCAACTAACCTTTCCTATGAAATAACTTCATGTAAAAAGTGTGGTTATTAATAAAGAACACCCAAGAAAGTAGCAACCATTACCTAAGAGCATTATTAAGTATTAAATTTGATCTGTACTGAAAGAAAACACAGCAGGACTCACAGTTATGAATTTTATATCAAACATTTTATCACCACCAATGATGAAATATTACATCTCTCTTAACAGTGACTATTTTCTAGCACACAGATAACTGTACTCAGTGTACAGCTCAACTTAAGACAGCAAAGTCTCATGCACAGAACACAATTAACAGAACTAGATATTTACTTGGCTTTTCTGCCACTCTAAACAACAGTCTCCAAGTATTAAGTTTAGAATCAATGCTCTATTGATTTTACTATCAATGAACATTATGGCCCACACGGCTGGCCATTTTAAGGGAAGACAGTTTTTAGAATATATGCTGTTAAAAGAATATATGCTGTTTTTTAGAATATATGCTGTTAAAAGATAAATCACTGCTTTTCTGAAATACTAAAAACAAAGATTTTTAAAAATATACAAACACTATATTCATATGTTATGTAAGAAAAATGTGTTGACACGTAATATTTAAAAATCACTATTGTATGCTCTTCTCTATTTAACACATAACACTGTTAAAATGTACTACAACCCAGCTCATAAAACTACTCTTAACATTTTGTTAAAAGCAGATTAACACATGCATCAACGTGTTCTTAAAAACCCCAGAAAAGTAAATCTCTATGATAAAAATATAATTAATGTAAAAAACCATATGGAACTCTAAAGACATTATCTTGGAAATTAAAACATTAATTGGTCAATTCCACACATCCAACATATGGTCTAATATACATTTACCTTATTTGATGTTCTTAAAATGCACATGATGGACATAAAATAATGGTTATATAATCATTAATGAGTTCCATTCTACATCCTGCAATTCTTCACATATATTTAGCCTAATATAAACATTGGAAAGCAAGTAAATCTAAAAATATTTAAATTATCAGTAGATAAAAAAGTAATGTAATTTATAACAGCTTATTTTGAAATATAAAATAACTATGAAACTAAAATACAAAATGTGTATATTATAAAAACAAATGTGTAAATAATTCTATTATTTGCCTAAAGTATGAATTTTTCTATCATACTAATTTTTAACTTCAAACAATATAGCAACATCACTTATATCACATTTTGAATCTTAGAGTAAAAATCAATTGTACGAAGATCATAACATAAACGAAAAACAAATCTAATTTAATTCACCTTACTCTCCTTTATTAAAACACACACACACACACACACACACACACACACACACACACGTCCAAAACTATGGTAAACAGCACTTTATATATATTGTATATAATTAATGTCATATCTTCTAGTTGAGGTAAGTATTAAAATTTCTTAATCTCATGTTAATGTTTATTATTTTATTATAATTTTAAAAATATATTTTTATTGATTTCAGAGAGAAAGGCCAAGGGAAAGAGAGACAGGAACATCAATGATGAGAGAGAATCATTGATCAGCTGCTTCCTGCACACCTCACACAGGGAATGGAGCCCACAACCTGGGTATATGTCCAGATTGGGAGTAAAACGCTGATCTCCTGGTTCATTGGTTGAAGCTCAACCACTAAGCCACACCAACTGGCGGGTTAATGTTTATTTTTATTCAAACACACCTGTAATCAAATTTACAATAACTAGGTAATGGGTTAATAGAAGTTTAGCAGATTAAGGTTGAGATAACTATAGTTTTCATCATTGGATTTATTTTTTAAAAAATGAGATTTTATTTAGTAAACTAAAAAACAACATTCAACTTTTACAAATATAGTGTCATAAAATAGACAAAATATTAAAGTTGTACGAATGGGTTAGCAAAAGAATGTTGGTTGAAAATTTATAATAGACTTTAAACAAAAGTAAGTATGCTAATATTACCACAGCATATTCTAGTGTATATGTTTAATAAATGATTGGTATCTATTCAGTACTTTATTTCAGCTAATACTCAGGGCTTGTATAGAAATTTATGAACAAACAAAGCTGAGCTGTTATTTCCCCAAATAAGCAAATTACCTAAGGAGTTTAAAATGGGCTACTATGTTAGGCTTCCTTACACTAACCAGAAAAACATGTTATTTTCACAATATAGCTGATGCCTTTGAGAGAAAATAAGACGTAAGTATATTCACAATTGCATTCCTTGGAATCTACCCAAGAGAAATGAAAAACATCTGTTCGCACCAAGACTTACATGTGAATATTCATGGCAGCATTGTGCATCATAGCCGAAAAGTGGAAACAAACTGAATGTCTACCAGTTGGTGAATGGACAAAGAAAAGTTGTAGAGGGAATACTATTCGGCGGTAAAAAAGAAATGAACTACTGGTATATGCTACAATATGGATGTGTCTCAAGAACATTATGCTAACAGAAAGAAGATAGGTGTAAAAGACTAGATAGTACACAATTTAATTAATACAAAAAGTCCAGAAAGGATAACTTTATAGATACAAAAAGATCAGTGATTGCCTAGGGCAGGGGTCAGAGTGGGGATTGCTTACAATGAACTAAAGGAAATGTTTTTGAAGTAATAGAAATGTTCTAAAACTGGATTGTGGTGGTTTGCACAACTCTGTAAACTCACAAAAATCACTGAATTGTATACTTCATAAAGTGACTTTTATGGTACACAAGTCATTCTGGGAGATTATCTTTAAGATATATCTAAATAAAGACTGTTTAAAAAATAAAGTTTGCATTTTCCTTAAAAAAGTAAAAAGGTTATCCAGTTTGCTATTTTATTTATTTCACTGCTATCCCCTTTTCTACCAAAATTTAAATAATGCACCTGATTTCAGTGAAACACAATTATGTTAGGAAAATAAATAAGAAAACATGTCTATGACAATTTTCCAAATAACAAATTAATGAAAGTCATTTTTAAAAGCATTTATTTAAGAATATTTTCATAATAAATAATTGGGTTACCAAAAACATTTTTTTTTTTTTAACCAGTATAAGACAACCTTCTTTTAGAAGATAAAACTATTCTTTTTTTTCTTCCCCCAAAGGAATTATAAACATTAGGGAATTGTAGAGGTGATTTCTTCTATGTGTTTAAATACTCATAGGTCACCTAGCCTAAGGCACAAGCTTTTGAGGAGTGATTCTTGGTTTAATTAGTTAAGACTTTTGCCTCAGGGAAAACCAGTTACCCAAGAGCTACTTGTCCCTAAAGGGGTATAAATACTACAGTTGTTGGTATAACTGTCAGACCCATTGTTTCTATTAACACTCTAAAAGAAATGCAAAGGAAACTAATCCTAAAAAGAAAATGTTAGATGAGTTTATAAATAAGAAGTGATTTGTTCTGAAAAGAGAGAAATAATTTCAGCAATTAAAAGAAATTGTTACAAAGTTTACTAACTTTTAAGAAAACAACAAACAAAAAGCCCAAATCTGATGCCAAAGATGTAGGGAGACTAAATAAAGCTATCTTTACAGACACATTCTTGATGTGTAAAACAAAACTTGGGGCTCAGTGAGAGAAACCAACTAGAAAATATGCACAGAATAATCAACACTTCTTTCAACATACTTCTAGGACTCTTTCAACACTATGGATTATCTCAAACCAGAGGAATGTTGGCTATGGTGCCTGGACCAATGCCAGCCCTTGTTATAAAGCAAGAGCACTTCAAGAGAGTATCTTGAATCCTTGCTTTGCAATCTGACAAACTGAGGTATTCAAATTAAAGAGTTAGGGTGAGGACCAAGAGTGGTAGCTAACATTTTAGGATATAGAATAATTCCAGATAATATATTTGAAGAAAGATTCAGAATGCTACAAAGCATCATTCTGGGAAGTTATCTTTTAAGATATATTAACACCCATATTAGCTGGCCTTAGCCTAAAATCTCAAATACCTACTTCTTTCTTTAAAGGTACTCTTTCAGTGGAGAGCAGCATTTTCAAACTGCAGATTGTGGCCCACTAGTGACTCATGAAATCAATTTAGTGGTGACAACCAGTACTGTCTTAAAAAGAAAAATGACTAGAATAGCCTAACCTAGAATAGAAAACATCAGTCTGTTTCACACACATACAAAAAGTGTTTTGTGAAATTTTTGTTTCACATGATGCAGAATGTATTTCCTACTGTGGGTTTGACTGAAAACATGTTGAAGCCCATTGCAGCACTGTCTACGTTCCACTCATTCTGAAGGAGAAGAGGAGCCTCTCTGCAGACTCCTCTTAAATCATTAGCGCTCTGTACCGCTGTATGAACATACTACTGCTCTTCTCACGGGGCACGGAGAAGTCTCCAAGTGAGGGGTTGCCTGCACTAACTAACCCTAAATGCAGAATCACGAGCAGAGGAAGGGAAGGGAAGGGAAAGGAAGGGGACAAAAGAAATAGGAGAAAGAAGCAAATATTTTTCTTTCATTCCTATCTTGTAGGTACATACTCATATAAGTTTGTTCTCTCACCCCAAAATTGTGTTTATTATTTTGTGAGTGAGGAAACAACGAGATGGTAATAACTTGAATATCACTTAACAGTCCAATTCCAAAACATTTAAGGAATTGAAAAGAACAAAAAGGACCACAAGACACAGATAAGAGCTATTTCTGACATATATAAAAATGAAAAGACATTTGTTTGAAGTCAAGTGGTATTTGTATTTCCCAGGGCCTAGACACTTGTTAAACATCTTATCTAATGAAGCCACAACTTGCTAATATACTTACTCGTATAAGTATTGAATCAACCTAGTGAAAAATTTCCATATTATGTAACTCTAAATATGCATTTCAAAATATTGCATACCTTCGCAAAAACAAAATATATTAACTTATAATAAACAAACTGTTTAATGAGACAATTTTTCCCTGTATAAACTGAGACATCAAAAATCTTAATTCAAAAACAGAAATGAATACTCACTTCTGCCTTCGTTCATCATCCTTTAAAACTTCATAAATGGCCACCAACTAAAATAGAAGCATTACTTTAAAATAAAAATACTCTCAACTATAAGAAATCACTTAAGAAAGTGAACATGCATAATGCACATGCAGAAAACCCTATGTGCTTATAAGTAAAATGAATAGGTAAGACCTTAATTAGAAGTAACATTTTTTGTTTTTAGTAGAACCTTAAAAGGTTACTAGTACCAATGCTTGATACCAAAATAAATATTTGTGAAAGATGCAAAAGTAATAATTATCTTAATATGTGCTTTTTAAAAGCAAAAGCTGTAATATAGACAAGAAAATTATGACACTCCAAGAATTCAGAGATTCTAAAATAAAAAAATACTGGTAAAATCACATTTTATAAAAATTAAATAAATGTACATACATTATATTTCTAAACAACATCCTCATTTCCAAATAAGATTATTCTACATGTGTTACTATTTCTACCATAAACCTTTATAAATTTGTCACAAAACGTAATAGTATATTTCACTTACTTGTCTAAATTGAGTTTCTGCATTTTCATCTTTATTCTTGTCTGGATGCAAAGTTAATGAAAGCTTACGATATGCTTTTCTAATGTCTGCAGATGAAGCATCCTGGAGGTGGTGGGGGGAGGTGAAAAACACACAAAGCAAACTTTGTCAGAAAAAGGAATTCCCAGAACCTTGTTAAGATCTGAGAAGACAGCCAACCAAGTGCAGGACCCCAGGCAATGTAATCTGAGCAATCAGTCAGGCTATGCAACTGGCCTGTCCCACATGACTGAACAATTATTCAATCTAATTTGGCTCTCATCTTAACTTTTCATTACTATACAGTCACTTAAAGAAGACAGTATTTGGCAATCACTAGGTTGATTCAAAACACTTTTCAAACACTTGCCTTCCTAAAATTAACCAATAAATCTTTTTCAGTAATTAAGAGATCAAGAAGAAACAAATTAAAAATTAATACATCTGTATGCCTTCAAATGTCTTTATTTGAGAATCTTAAAGCCAGTTTCTGAATTTAAGGTCTACTATATGTGGTTTCTTCATTGTTATTTATATTGAATTTACCATCAAAAAACAACCTATGGAATCTCAATTCATGTCAGAAGTATGCCTATTTAAAGGGCAGTTAAATGTGCATTTATCCAAAATAATTATAAGTGTTATGTATATTGTACTTAACACTTTTGTTTTTAGTACTTTAAAAGGTGTTTTTAATGGTGACAAGTTTCTAGAATCTGGTTTGCAGAAATAAATTTGCCCACTATTTATGTATTACTAATATAGTTTAAATATATTTGAAAGATCATGATAGTTCAATAAGAATACTTTGAATTAAGTGGATGTTAAAATTATATTTTATGTAATCCTGCGTGCACAGGTAAACACTTTACATGGCAATTACAAAATACAATAACAAATAATAATAAAATAAAATAACAAAGAACACTGTCAAGTTGGGATTAAAATTTTATTTCCATAAAGTTTAAAAGTTATTCCAATGACTAACATGTTCAGAGTGGGACAAATAATAAAATTTTATCTCATTTATAGCTGAATATTTGTCCAATTAATTCCTAAAACTACTAAAAAAGTTCAAATGACTGAAAAACCAAACCAAAACAAGAATCTGTATATCTAGGGCTAAATAGCTGTTAAAAGAGAGTTGAAAAGAGGCAAAATGAGACAATTAGTCTGTTAAGCTTTTCTTTATAAACCAATACAGATATTCTGGAATTTATTGCTAGAGGCTATTAATCAACTTAAAAAGTTCAGGTGAGGTGTGAATATTTCTGAGACTTTTAGAGGGCTGAGGAGCTATAAAATTAGCATCAAGTAAGTTTTGTGGATAGAATGGCTATAATTTTCACTCTAATTTGTTAAATGGAATTAATGTATTCCCTATACCTAAATAATAGATGACATTGTGTAGAAAAGGATGATTATTTACTGAAAATCTGTGACAGAAATTTTGTTGAGCAAAGAGGTCATGTCAAATGAATAATAATTTGGGACTTTAATTTTAGATTGTATTAAGTTGTGACTATATCACACTGAGAAATTTCTAAAGTGCAGATTTCTTATAAAGTAAGAGTTTATATATTTTCTTATGCTACAAAATCAGAACATGCTTATTATGGAGCAACTATGACTTACTTAAAAATAAAAGTGGCTAAAAGTCACTTAAGGCATTTCCCTTCTCCGAGTCTTGCCATGCTGAACCCAATCCTCCAAACTTTGTTTTCCACAATATGTATCTTAAATGGAAATGTGCCTAGATGGCTCTATTTTAAACCTTTTGATAACTCCCAAGTGCCTTCATCATTGTCTTTTCCAATAATTTAGCTTCATCTCCCACTACCTTGGTCCATCCTCCTAGTCGCCCAGGTCATTACGTTAGGAGACCATTCCTGTAATGTGTGACGATCTTTGGTTTTGCACCCACCTGGAGATATCGTTTTCTCCTAAAGAATGAGCCTCTCAGCTACACACCAATATTGCCTGCCTATTTTCCTCTTAAAAATTTGCCTCATAGCATTATTTCACCAATATGCTCCACTTCACCAATAAGATAGAACTAAAAACCTCAGAATTTTTCTTACAAAGACACGCTCTAAATAAGTAGTACCTCAAACTAGCCCATGTATTTAATTTTAGTTAATTACTTAGTGAATATTAACTTATTTTACCTTTTTAACAACGCTATGACATTAGGATAGTTGTTAGCAGGCCCATTTTACTGGTGAGGTGAGGCAGAGAGAGGTTAAAGTAATTTGCGTAAGTTCATAATGTTAATAAATAGATGAAAATAGAATTAAGCCCCAGAAAATGTTGCATCATATTCAGAGCTCTGTTGGCTCTTTGGGTTCAGTTAGTAGATCTGGGCTGTGCCACTTCACAAGGGATGACAACTTTGAAAAGGCAATGAGAACAACATTCTTTTTAAAAAATATATAGTAAATACATAAACCAGTAACATAGTCATTTATTATCATTATCAAGTAATACATATGGTACAAAATTATATGTGCTCTATTTTTATACCACCAGCAGAGAAGTATGTTTGTTTATACCAGCATCACCATAAAAATGTGAGTAATGCATTATGCTATGATGTTAGGACACTATGACAACACTAGACAATAGGAATTTTTCAGCTCCATTAAAATCTTATGAGATTGCTGTTGAATATGCAGTTCATCATGGACCAAAATGTCATTATGTGGTAGGTACATAACTATATACACAGTATACTTGACATATCAAGTTCATGAGTTTTTTTCTGATACTGTTTCCCACTAATTCATCTATTTAAAAAATACATATATATTTTATTGATTTTTTTAGAGAGAGGAAGAGAGAGGGATAAAAAGTTAGAAACTTTGATGAGAGAGAAACATCAATCAGTTGCTTCCTGCACACCCCCCACTGGGGATGTGCCTGCAACCAAGGAACATGCCCCTGACCAGAATCGAACCAGGGACCCCCTCAGTCACAGGTCAACACTCTATTCACTGAGTCAAACCGGCCAGGGTTAATTCATCTAATTTTAAGAAGTAGTCAATAAGTAATTCTGGAGTTCACAAATATTAGAAACAAATACCGTGGGGAATTTTTTAAATTAAAAAAAGGTAAAAGAACAACATTCTTATTAATTTGATAAACTACATAGAAAACATCTACATAATTACAAAGTGAATATAGTCAATTGCATTTTTAAGGGTAAAGACTCAGATATGCTAGCTTTTCTAACACATTTTACATCATATTTCTACTAGAAAACTGAATGTTAGGACATACATCTCCTCTACAGATCTTTTGCCTCTCTGGCTTGCAGAGAAATAATTTTGAAAGAGTTATGGATGAATTAACCATCTTTGACACAGTAGACATCAGAAGATCTACTGGGTTCAACTGCCAAAATTATTTTCCTTCTAAATTGGATAAGGTTCTTTGGCAAGCTAGATATGAATTATGTTAATATTTGGATGACCTCTATAAAGAAGAGACATATAGTCATTCTTTAAAAAACAACTGTGAAAGGAATATGCTTGTCAAAATTGTAATAATACAGCCGAAACCGGTTTGGCTCAGTGGATAGAGCATCGGCCTGCGGACTGAAGGGTCCCACGGGTTCGATTCCGGTCAAGGGCATGTGCCTTGGTTGTGGGCATATCCCCAGTGGGGGCTGTGCAGGAGGCAGCTGATGGATGACTCTCTCTCATCAGTGTTTCTAGCTCTCTATCTCTCTCCCTTCCTCTCTGTACAAAATCAATAAAATATATATTTTTTAAAAATTAAAAAAAATTGTAACAATACAATGGGACAACAGCTAAAATAGAAGAGTAGGAAACTCCAAGGGCCTGTCCCTGCACAGAAACAACAAATAATCTGGCAAAAACTGGTGCCAATCAGGGCAAGGGATAGCAATTGGGATATACCATAGAAATATCAAAAAGCTTGAGAGAAAAGATAAGGGAGTAGATGCTTTAGAAATATAGGCTTTTGTAAAGCCTCAATTTCTTAGAAACTATAAGACCATGTGCATACCCAAGGAACATACTCAGAAAGGGTATTTAGGGTCTTCTGAAAAAAAAAACCCCGCAATTCCCACTACTGTCTGATGGTTAGGCTCACTAAGAGTTGTAAACTGCCTGGCTAAGGGTTAAATGCATGTCACAACATATAGGAACCCACCAGCAAGGACTGTGGATGGATTTTTCTAAACCTTTAAGGAAATTTCTGCTGAATCATTAGCTGGCCACTAAGCTAATGAAATGGAGACTTCAGTGCCCACATACAGCAAAGAATATCTACTTGACTAATTTAGTTTAGAAAAGTCACTAAACAATGTCAATCAACCAACCAACCAAACAAACAAAAACCCTGGTGTGGTGGAAGAATCTAATTACCACATTATATATTCAAAATGTCCAGTTTGTATTAAAAATTATAAAACATGCATAGAAACAAGAGAATCTGGTTCACATATGGGAAAAATAAATTAATAGAAATTGCCCCCGAGGAAGTTCAAACATAGACTTACTAGACAAAGATTATAAATAAAGTATTTTAATATGCTTAAGAGCAAGTATAAAGAACTTAAAGAAAGTATGAGAATAATGTTTCACCAAATTTATAATAGCAATAAAGGGACAGAAATTTTAAAAAGAAACCAAAGAGAAATTCTGGCTTGGAAAATACAACTACTGAGATAAAAATTTTTCTATAGAAGGCTCAATAAATGATTTAAGCAGGCAGAAGAAAGAAATTTATAAAATTGAAGATAGATAAATTGAGAATAATGAATATGAGGAGCATGAAAAAGAATATCAATAAATGAAAAGAGCTTTGGCAGGCTACCACCAAGAGTACCAACAAAGGAGTGTCCAAGAGGGAAAAGAGAGATGAGAACAGAAAAAAAAATTTGAATAAAAAATGGCTAAAAATTTCCAAACTTCAGTGAAAGACATGAATATACAGTACACATTCAGGGTCTCAATAAATCCTAAATAAAATAAACTCAAAGACCTCCACACCTAGGAATATGGTAACTAAATTGCTGAAAGATAGAGAAAATCCTGAAAGCTGAAAGAGAAGCAATT